GCTCCACGTTCAGCGCTGCTTTGTGTCCCAGCGAGGAGGAGAGAAACTGTCACAGGTGGCCGAGTGTTGCGGGAGGAGAGCGCTGTGAGCGCCCGGCGTCTCTCCTCCCCACACCGCTCAGTCTCCTGTTACAGATTGGGAGAGCGGTGTGTGGGTGGAGACAGCCAGCGCTGTCACAGGAGGCTGAGCTCTCTTCCCGCCCCGCTCACTCAGCCTCCTGTGACAGCGTGTCAGGAAGAAGCGGTACAAGCACTCAGTGATTGCTGAGCGTTTGTAAATAATGGAGGATATAGTATGGTTACTATATCCTCAATTATGAATGAATAATTTCGGTGCACCTCTAGTTAAAACTCATAAACCTAAAAGTTTCACTTGCAGTAAATATTTGGTGAATGTCAGATTCACTGCTTTATAATATGCCCCTTTCTAGAGTTAACATGAACAACACTGTTTTTTTTACAGGGTTGTTCACAAAACCCCACCTTAGATTCTAGGACAACAAAGCTGATTTGAAAAAATCCTCCAATTCACCTCAAATTGCAGCTCAGCTATGTTGTCCTAGATTGTTCACTTCTCCTGCCTTCTCCAAACTCTTCACCCTTTTCTGAATAACCCTGTTAGTCTTTGTACCTTTCTCTTATCAGTTTATGTATTTCCTGTGCTTAGTCAGGTGCTTTTTTATAGACTTATATAATAACTGATTGCTCAGGGTGGAATTCCTAGTGATGGTGATTCTGATGGGCAGCAGTTATTAATTAGGAATGAAAGGTTTAGTGGCATTGTTGTAAAGATTGCGGCTAAATGGGGCAGCACTGGGGTGATGCCATTTAACATATTTAAACATTCAATAACTGCAATAACTCAGGACAGACAGCACTGTAAATGCTGATCAAGGTTAATAAGAAGCTTGACCAGTGGACCCAACAATGAAATTGGAGGCCGCTTTATATTTACAATGAAACTTTCTAAGAACTTTGGAGTTTATGGGTTGCCAATTACTTACAACCAAATTGTTACACAGATCCCCTAACAATCTAGTCCCGTAGACCAGGTCCCTTACCCAGGAGTAGAAGCCACAAACCACTTTAATATTATATAGATTTCTGCTTAACATTACCAGCATGGAGTGTCTTTTCTTCCAGGCCCTCATGGAACAACCCCTCCCATACCCTCTTCCTTTCCCTTCTCCCTACCGAAACCGTTGGTACGAGCACGCAGATTCCCCATTTCAATTCTACCCTTTACATCACAAAGACAACCTTTTACAATATAGATTGGGAGAATCATTATTGTGTTAAGAGGGCACTCCCTCTCTATAGACAAATCCATCAAGCACATGACCCTGAATGCCATTGATAGGGGGTGCAGAGATACCAGTGATACTGTAATAGAGATCACAAAATAGAAAAAAATCCAGCACTCCATAGTGAGCCTCAGTTGTTTATTGAGGGCTCAACAAAACAAGCGACAAAGAAAAAGGTTCCAAAAACATGTTAATCAAAATCATAGGAAATCTAACATTTTAAGGTCTTCTCCAGAAAAGAAAGTAAGGGGAAATCTTCCATTGGGAAAACCCATTCTGGTGACAACTGTCTAAGAAGGGATTTCACCTTGGGGAAGTTCCCCCTAAGTTTATATTGTGACTCAGAGAGCAAAGGGAAATCTCCCTAACATGTCACAAACAGCCAGCAAAAACATCCTTCCCTCATCTTTCAAAAAAAGTCTAGAGATATATTTGAAATTCTGGTTTTAGTAACAGGAAATGTTACAATCACAAACAAGATTAGCTCAGACACCACAGCTTGTCCCTTGCTTCCTTGGTGCTAGATTTCTCTTTCTGTCTCCTGGTTAATTTCCTGAGTCCTTCTGCTTTTTGTCTCCCCACTGGGTCCTCTTAAACACCACATTTCTCTCCTTTCTCCAAACATAAAGCAACCTTTGGTCTCTGTGTGTGCTTTAAATCAGTGGTTCTCAACCTGTGTAACCTCAGGACACACATTTGTCATTGGTCATTAAGTCACAACCTAAGTTGCACTGCAATGGAACGTATGGCAGTGTGGGCTGCTGTACTGTGATGGAGCTCCATCCATATGTGCATTGCTTGTACAGCTCCCATGCATGCCCTGTAGAGGTGTCAGGAGCCAGAATGTGATGTTACTTTGGTCCAGGTACCTCTATAGGACATGCGACGGAGCTATAAGCAATGCATGTATGAATGGAGCTCCCCCGCTGCCATACTCCCATTCCACCCCACCTCAAGCTGACACTCAGTGCCGGGCAGCATATTTTGAATGGCTGCTCAGTGTGAGAACGGACAGTGCTGCGCTAGGGGGAGGCCGAGGAGACTCTCACCTAAAAAAGTGGAAGGCATGCGGCAACCCACTGAACATGGGGTCGTAACCCACCAGTTGAGAACCAACGCTTTACATGATGTCAGACATCCTAATTCAATGGTCCTTCTTTTAGAAGACAGCTTCTTGCCTTCCTGAGTTGTCCATCATAGGGTTTGTTAGCTCATTGGTGTGACTAGCAGTTTTTTGGATTGACCATTGTTGGTGATCCTGATCAGCCTCACCTTACTTGAGGCCCACTTTGCTGAGTACATGTTCCATGTTCTCTTCCAGCACATGATATATTGTACCTGATACATTAGTTTTGTCAGTTGCTCAGAAGGCTTTGCATACCTAATGCAGAGAACAGTGTACTTTTTAGGGCAGCCATCACATTTTGCATTCAGGATATCTGATTCACCATCACATTACACAGCAATAGTGAGCCCTGGGCAGCAGACGTGGGTGGGGCCAAGCTTGACTTTGGCATGATAAGTCAGGATTTGAGTAAAACCTCAGTTTCTCATACCTTTGGACTTACTGAAGGTTTTGACATACAGTTCTCACTAAAGTAAGCATGGTTAATGCATTTTACATCCTCTGCTCAGTTTGAATTGTCTACGTTTGTGATAGGTGTTCTTTAATATCCTGAATATGTTTTTCCTGGGCCGTCTGCTAAATATAAATCAACTGGATAACCTTTAATATAAGAGGGTTACAAAAACAGCCTTCTTTATTTCCGAACTGTCTCCATCAGCTGTTTTGTAAATTATCAGCTCACTTGAGGTCTGTTCTGCAAATCTCAGACATGTATGCGAGATTTGTTATAGGTTTTCCCTGGCACACTGACCTCTTTTTTTCCTGCTGGTAATGAAACGTATATGAAATACAGCTTGTGTCTGGAGAGAACCAGAGTAGAACATTTCACAGCATGGTACAAAGCAATAATGGTAGAGTGTGAAATATGCTCAGCACACTTTAGAGATGTAGCATGTAGTGAAGCTGAGGTTTACTATTAAAATAGACCTTTCTAAAATATGGTAGATGTGAAATGTAACTCCTTTTCTGCAACCTCAAACCTTTAGCTGCTCTTCATGCTCACTCAGAAGCTCTGTAATGAAGGGGACCTATCTCAAAGAAAAGAGTACTTGGACTTGCAGGAGTTTATCCATTAGCTAAAGCATCAGTGTCCCAAATGGCTCTATCATACTAGGCTGTATCTGTGCTATACTGCAGCAGTTCTGGAGGTATAGGTAGCCAATGAGATGAAAAGAATCGATTAGCATCGCACCATCAAAAATAATCCCTTTATTTTTTGGAATATGTGATGAAATGAGAAATATGAATACCTTCTGTTCTAAGAAGACTCTACTGTGCTACGCACTGGTTCATTAGAGGACTTTGTGGTTCCAATAGTCTCTCCTCCTCATAACCTACTGGGTTATATGTCTTCCTTCTGGAAATGGTAGTTGTATGGCTATCAAGTCGTTCCAGTGGCGTCAATGTAGTGGCATCAAAGTCCTTGACCCAAAACTAGTATGCAGATCGAGTGTCTTGAAGGCTAAGACAGCAGGGCAACTCGTAATTTAAAGTGCATTTCCAGGGCTCTGTAATCAATTAAATTAGGCAGCCACTCGCTGGGGCCTCTGCGGCCTCTGCTGCACAGAGTACAGAGGGAGCTCGGTACAGAAGGAGCCTGGTAGAGGCTGCCTTTCCTCCCTCCAACAGCGCTGAGTAGAGATACTGAAAGGGGATGTGTGAGTACAGATACTATCTCTCCTTTTTCTCTCCCCTGGCTGTCTCACTGCTGAAATTTTTAGTCCTCTGTACCTGGTGGTATTCTGCATTGCTGTATAATTAATTGCTGGGAATTGTAGTCCTCTGTAGCTGATGGTATTATTCTGTGTTGCTGTATAATGTATTGCTGAAATCGGTAGTCCTCTATAGCAGATGGTATTATTCTGTGTTGCTGTATAATGTATCACTGAAATTTGTGATGGACTACAATCTCACGTTTAATTTACTATATTGTATTGAGATTGTAGTCCATCACAGGAGCGAGCTTGGAGTGGTGACTACTTTACAACACACACAGGGACCATCGGGAACAAAAGTAGCCCCCTTCCAGAAGGAAGGACAGTGTCAGCACCAATTCAGAGATGATTTGAGGATCCACAGCTGAGTGATAAACACATAAGATACATTTTTGTTAATAGTTAAGGTACTGGAAGGCATTTTTAAGATTTAACTCCTGAGTTAAGTGTCATTAAAAACCAACCCCGCTTTCTGCAAGAGAATAAAAAAAAGTGCATGTTGACTCTGACCTCTCCTTTCCCCTAACTTTCGTAGTTTTAGTTGTGGAATCACTTTAACTGCCCCACGACCAACACATTCATTTCACTGCCCATAACATCAGCGCTCCTGCGGCGCCATTAGACCCATGACGTCACCCACGTGACATTCTTGCTCCCAGCCAGCCTGCCCTTCCTTCTGCCGGGGTCCTCAGATGAACGAAGGGCCTCCGGATAAGCTGCCCAGTGAAACGCCTGCATTCAAATATCCGTCAGAAACGTACTGGGCAGATACGGATCATCGCTGTAGTAGCAAGCGGTTTATATGGTAACTCAGTGACGGTGTGAAGATTGGATTTAGCGTGTGGCGGAGCGCGGTTATGTGAAACATTGCAATCAGGCGGAAGGAGAGGCAGCCCTGGGAAGCCAGTGAGGCTGCTGCTTGTTGTGACGGGAGAAGCCGTACTAGGAAGAGGGTGACAGGGGCCGATCTCCCCCATTGCCGCCACCATGCCGCTCTTCAGCGCCAACCCCTTCGAGCAGGATGTGGGTGAGTGTAGAGGAGGGGTCCCGAGAGAGCTGGGGGGACCCCGAGATATCTGTGTGTACCACTAAAATGTCAGCTGGACCTCACTCCCGGGGCTACAGATTGTGTCCCCACAAATGTCCGTAGTATTATAGGACCGTCCCCATAGGTGTCCGTGGTATTATAGGACCGTCCCCATAGGTGTCCGTGGTATTATAGGACCGTCCCCATAGGTGTCCCTGGTTTTATGGGGCTGTCCTTGGTTCTCAAAGATCTTCCCCATCACTGTCTCTGGTTCTGAAGGATCATCCCAGGAAATGTTCTGGGTTTCTAGGACCATCCTGTCCGGGGTTTTCAAGAGTTGCCCCAATAGGTGTCCTTGGTTTTGAAGCATTGTCCCCAGAAGTGTCCTTACTTTTTAAAGGTTGTCCCCATAGATGTTCCTGGTTTTAAAGGTCCAAGTCTATAAGTGTCCCTGGTTTTAATGTCCTTGTTGTTTTAGTAATACCAGTTGTTGGGGGGAGAGGGGTTCTGTGTGCTCGGTCAGCCGCCATATTGTGTCTGTCATTGTTTGTGATTGGTACCGGCAGTAAGCGCTCCAGAAATCTCCGATATCTCACTGCCCGGTCTACATAGACGGGAAGAGCCGACGTTCCATCAGAGTTCCAACTCCTCGAGATCTCCAACCACCTGACTTCCGGTTTACTTAGAAGAGGTTTGGGTGAGAAGGCTGTACTGCACGTGGGCCACCCGCGCCATTTCCCTATACACATAGTACACAGCAATGTACTATTACAATGAACTAGAGTCAGACTAATCCAGCACGTTATTCATCAGAGCTGCCCCACTCAATATGTCTGTCTCCTGCCGCCATATTGAGTGGGGCAACTCTGATGAATAACGTGCTGGATTAGTGTGACCCTAGTTAATTTTAATACTTTATTGCTGTGTACTATGTGTGTAGGGAAATGCCACGGGTGGCCCACGTGCAGTACAGCCTTCTCACCCAAACCTCTTCTAAGTAAACCGGAAGTCATGTGGTTGGAGATCTCGAGGAGTTGGATAGAACAGCGGCCGTGTCAGTCTCATAGGAATTAGCTTCCTGATGGGCAATGTGCGCTCATAGTGTGCGCTCGCAGTGTGTGCTCATAGACGCTAACCATGGAGGAGGGATGAATACTTATAAAGCCAGTAAACAGTTTAAAGTGGAACTCCGCCCTGTGTTACAAGGATATTACAAGGATTAAATTAAAGTGACACCAAACTCAGGAGGTAAATCCTAAAAATATATTCATGTACATTAAAGCGGAACCTTTGCCCAGATCTATACAATAACAACAAATACACCTTTTAGAAATGTCTAGTAATGACAATCTACACACACATACTTCTAGATAATTGCCGGCCTTGTATTCTTTGTATACCCTATTTTTATTTTCTTCCCCAGTCTTCTGAGAGTGGCCATGTTAACTAAGGGCAGATTACTAGCTCTCATTTTACTTCCTGGATTACTGGCACATGTGACTAGGACATGTGACTAGGACATGTGACCGTGCACATCATCTCAGGGGAGGAAAATGCTTTTCCCTGAGATCTTGTGAGATTACAGATGAGATTTCCCAGCAATGCTCTGCTGATGACAAGGCAATCCCAGTGTGCATTGCTTTGCCAAACTGAAGTCATTTTGTCCTTTCAAAGCAGGAAGTGAATGCTCTGAAAGTGTCAGTATTTCACAATCACAGCATTTTACACCTGACATGTCTATGTTATTATTAATCATCATACATAGAGGGATGCATTGGTAGGATTTGATTTCTGAGTATAAAGGTCTGCTTTTACTATAAACAAATATGCATCTTATTTGTGTATTACTCGGCTGTAGATCCTCAAATCATCTCTGAATTGGTGCTGACACTGTCCTTCCTTCTGGAGGGGGGCTACTTTTGTTCCACACGGTCCCTGTGTGTGTTGTAAAGTAGTCACCGCTCCAAGCTCACTGCCCTGATGTACTACAATCTCATGTTTAGTTTACTGATTTGTATGAGATTGTAGAGCAATAGTGAGTGGTCTTTATTATAGGAGGGGTTGGAGACAAGACCAGTCACCCTGCACAAGGGGAGAGAGCAGCGGTGACCGGTCTTTATTATAGGAGAGGGGCGGAGACAAGTCCAGTCACCCTGCACAAGTAGAGAGAGAGCAGTGGTGACCGGTCTTTATTATATGAAGGGGCAGAGACAAGACCAGTCACCATACACAAGGAGAGAGAGTAGTGGTGACCGTTCTTTATTATAGGAGGGGGGCGGAGACAAGACCGGTCACCCTGCACAAGGAGAGAGAGCAGCAGTGACCGGTCTTTAATATAGGAGGGGGCGGAGACAAGACCAGTCACCCTGCGCAAGAAGAGATAGCAGCAGTGAGCGGTCTTTATTACAGGAAGCTCCAAGTTTCACACAGATCTGGAAGAAATACACAAAGCTCACCAAGATGCAAGCAAGATTGCATGTGACTCTTGTACCGTGTTTCCCCGAAAATAAGCCAGTGTCTTATATTTTTTTCTACGAAAAAAGACACTAGGTCTTATTTTCGGGGATGTCTTACCTGGCTGCAGCTGTCTGCTCTGCCGTCCAGGGAGCCGCTCTGGGTGCTCTGTCAGCCAATCGGAAGGCTTCTGGCAGTGTGTGTGGGGGCCCCGGGCTGCGCTCGGCACGCATTGTGGTCTGAGGGAGCTGCGTAATATAAGACCTACCACCGAACTAGGTCTTATTTTCGGGGTAGGTCTTATATTACAGAAATCACTGAAGATAGTGCTTGGTCTTATTTTCGGGGTATGTCTTACTTTCGGGGAAACACGGTATTTAGACAATATTTGCTCATCATGGAGTTCACCTTTTAAATAAATAAACACTAATTGTAGCAATTGTATACGCTGTATCGATTTTACTTTCCCTGCAGCTGCAGTTCCAGCCTGCATGTTTGTTTTGTGAATCTCTTTTCTTTTTGTATTCAAACTTTTTAAAATATTAAACAAACACCTTTAAAAAATAAACTGAGCAGCTAGATAAGTGTAAGGCCCCTTTTACACGGGCTGAGGAGCACGGATCCCTTCCTGATCAGAGCGGATGTCACCACTGTAACATCCAACTAAAACTGCCGGACCCCATGTAGGTCTGTGGGGAGTCGGATGTAATGTAAACGGGCCTATGTCCTTTTATATCGGATTAACCCGGATTTGGCATGAATAGGTCCGGTGAAGCAGAACTCTTTGTTTTTCCGGACCTGGCACACGTCCGTTCAGACCCAGCTGCTCATAGACTAGCATTGGGCATTTCATCAGTTCCATCTGAAATACTGATAGGTAGATCGGAAAGGACCTCCTGTGTGAAAGGGGCCTAAGGCTGATGTCACATGGGCGACACAGCTGGCCCCGAATGCCCCCAAATCTCGCTCAGTAGCTACGGGGCATCTGGTTGGCCCCACAAGTGATTCCATAGAGGTAGGCAGGCGGTCTGTTGGGGATCCTGATGTTGTCCTCAGCGTCTGGATGGCCTGTGTGACATCCTTCTAAGGCATTGTCATCATTTTCTTTCACTGATCTTAAAGAGACTCCCTAGTTACTAACATTTGTTTCTGGGTGCGTTATATACCTGACTCATGGGGATTTATTCTGCATGCAAGAATTCCCTGTTCTGTAAATTGTAATGATTCTTATAATGCCTCACCTCTCATACGAGACCTTCATCAGCACTAGTAATACTCTCTGTATAGTGTTTTATTGATGTCAGTTTATTTGTATATATAAACCTGGAAAATAAATAGTGTTCTTTTATTGCTGTTATTCCCAAGAAATGATTTATGTCTGCTCCAGGGGCGAACAACTGAATATGGAGTTCAAGAGCCAGTCTGTCCAATCCCGGAGTCCGCAGGAGTTTTTAGGAGCCAGCTCCATTGGGTACAACTAGAGGAGACTTCAAAAGTTGGGCGCCGGCTGTATTTTCTAGGAAGCATTGGCCACCTGTCTCCTGGGATGTGTCCAGCCCTGGTCTGCTCTTTGTAATTTGTTATCGCTGATGCCTATTCAACAATATGCATTTTTTATGTGGCTGTTGGCTCATGCTCATGGCCTTAAAGTACAGTACAGAGAGGTTTTTTCCCCCCTATCCAAATGCAGGTGTATTTCTTTGAATGGGCCCATGCACACAGCTATATTATGTTTCAGGATTTATGTAGCACCAACAGTTTGTGCAGTGTTTTATAACATAGGGAAGACATTACAATCACAATACAAGACAAGATGGTAAGGAGGGCCCTGCCCCTGAGAGCTTACAATCTAAAAGGGAGGGGCAAGTCATACATGAGGAGGTAGCTGTGTGGGGATGAATTGTTTGAGAACGTGATGGTTGAGTGGTTAGATTGAGGTGGGATAGGCTTCCCTGAAGAGATTAGTTTTTAGGGAATGCCTAAAGGCAGTCAGAGTGGGAGATAGATGAACAGGTTGGGGTAAAGAGTTCCAGAGAATGGGAGAGACTCTATAGAAATGCTGGAGGTGAGCATGGGAGGAGTTGATGAGGGAGCTGGAAAGCAGGAGGTCTTTTGAAGAGCAGAGGGGACGGTTAGGGTGATGCTATGAGACAAGGTTTGAGATATATCCGGGGGCAGAGTTGTAGATGGCTTTGTAAGTCATTGTTAATATTTAGAATTTTATCCTTTGGGCTATTGGAAGCCTGTGGAGCTACATAAAGTTTTGCAGCATTCATATATGTAAAAAAGAAAAAAAGGGGGGGGGGGAGGTGTTTTTTTTATCCTTTGTTTTTAGGATGCCGGCGACCATGTAGTGTCCTAGCAGCAGGGTGCATTTGCACTGTGAATGCATTGTATGGATTAGACTGCCAGCAAGGTCCAAGTAAAATCATACGCCATTCGTATGAGCCCTAAAAGTCGTGAGGGTTGTCCTCAGCTGTGTTGTCACTGGACCCTACACCAGCCGTGTTAAAGAAGCACTTTTTAGGTGCTATAAAAAAGTTATA